CTTTGACAGCAGCTTTGCCCTTCGGCACGGGGCGAGCTGCCAAGCCACGCCTTGTGCTGGTTATTTCTATTTTTATTATTATTGTTGTGTTTTTTTTGTCCTCCGGACTGAGCAATGAGGGGTGCAGCGGCCGGGCAGGGTGAGCTCTGCTGCCTGCCCCGTCCCCAAGGTGCCTTTGGGTGCCCCTGCAGCCCGTGGCCGCCGTACCAAGCACGGCCCCGGGGGAGCTCAGGGGACTGCTTTTATCTTGCAAAAGGATTTTTGTTTTTCTTTGCGTGGCAAGGAGCCCTTCACCGACCCCTGTAAATATTTTGCCACCGATTGCCTTTTAAAGGGAATCTTCCCTTTGGCTGCATCCCAAACTGACCTTTTTTGCCCTGAAACCTCCCTGGAGCGGGGTCTCTCTGTCTCCATCCCCATGCGGGCTGGGGTTGCCCCTCTGGGCAATCACATCCATCCCTTCCTAGACCAGGAGGAGACCCCAAAACCACCGCGTCCTCACCGCCAGGAGAAAACCCCTCTTGTTTGGCCAGCCCGCGGGGGGCGAGCTGCAGTTATCGGGGCCGAAGGCGGCACGGGGACAAAGTGCGCGGTGCCTGCGGGTGATAGCACCGGGGCCGCCTCGCTGTGCCAGCATGGGAATCCCCAAAAAAGACCCGGGTGCCGTGGTTTTACCCAGCCGAGTGTTACCACACCGCTCCATTATTTCCCCCCACAGGACCTGGTGGACTGGAGGAAGCCCCTGCTGTGGCAGGTGGGCTACCTGGGGGAGAAATACGACGAGTGGGTGCACCAGCCCGTGGACAGGCCCATCCGCCTCTTCCACTCGGATTTCCTCGAGTCCCTCTCCAAGACGGCGTGGTGAGTGCCCCGGGATGGGATGGGGATGGGATGGGATGGGATGGGATGGGATGGGATGGGATGGGATGGCACACTGACGTCTCCCCTCGCCCCACAGGTACGTGGTGTTCCTGGTTTGGACCCCCGTGGTGCTCTATCTCAGCTGGGTCAGCTACACGGCCCTCGCGCAGGGCAACACCAGGCTCTTCTCCTCCTTCACCACAGGTACGAGGCCCGCAGGGAGGCACAGAGCCTCCGCTCATCCCTTCCCCATCCCCAGCTTCCAGCATGTGTCCATGAGAGCAGCGCACGAGCCCCCAGCCCCGTTCCCACCAGCACACCCCCGGCATGAAGCCGCCTGCGCTGGTTCACCGCCCAAGCTCGCCTCCCCCCATCACCCCCTCTCCCCCTAAATACATTTTTTTCCCTCTCCTCCATCCCCAAAATAAAGCCCTGCAGCTCGCCGCTGGGGGTGCATTCTCCCCCCCCATTCCCGGGTGCTGACACCCACCGCAGCGCTGGCACCGGGGCCGGGCGGCTGCGGCGAACAAACCCGGCTCTCAGCGCCGCCGGCCGCGCACAGTGCGGGGCTTGTTCGCCCCGAGCGCCTGCCCTTCAATCTGCCACTGTCTGCGCCCCCGGGAAGCAGGGGCGGGGGGCCGGGGGGGGCCGGGTGCTTTGTTGTTTGCCCGGCTCCCTCGCCGCAAGGTGCCACCCGGTGCCAGCTGCGCCCGCGCCGGCCCCCTCTCGCTGACCTGCCCCGCTCAGCCCAGGTTTTGATAGCTTTTTGATAGCTTTTTGATACGTTTTTTTTTTCTGGTTTTGTTTTGTTTTCCCCTCCTGCAAACCTCTTTCACGTTTGCCCATGTGCTTGCAGGATTTGCTGTGTTAGCCCAGGAAATTTGGGCAGCCCGGAGCTGCACCGCTCGCAGCCATGTGGCTGGGGCACGAGTGCTGCCAGCTGGTGGGCTTGAATTTTGGGATGCGCCCTCCCCGATTCCTCCTGGAGGAATCTGCCCCCGGCACCTTGCTGCTGAGAGGGTGTTTTGTCCAGCTGCCAACACGCTCGGCTTTGGGGGATCTCGCTAGCAAGAATGAACGGGGTGAATTATTTTTTTTTTGCCAGCGGGGACGCAGGGCTTGAGGGCACCGAGAGGAGGAGGAGGTGGAAAAATGCCATGTGGGGGGGAAAGCACCCGACAGATCTGCTCCCTGCAGGACAAAACCGCAGCAGCAGCGCTGTTTGGCCACCCCTGTGTCTGTCGGGTCCCTCCTGCTCGCTGGGGTGGGCGCAGCAGCTTTGTAAGGACCAGGGGGTGCCTCCAGCCCCGAGTGGCACCCGGCTGTTTCCCAAGAGAGTGGGAATTGGTAGGAGTCCAACAAACCCGTGGGCTGCGTGCCGGGGAGAGGCGAGCTTCCCCGGTGTGAGCATGGCGCTGGATAAAAGCACCTGAAGCCCCCCCCTGCCTGGCTGACCGCCGCATGTCTCGTTGTGTAGAGTACTCCATCCCCGTGCACAAATACTACTTCCCCTTCATCTTCCTCCTGGGGATGTTCCTGTGGTCCCTGCTTGAGTACCTCATCCACCGCTTTGTCTTCCACATGAAGCCACCCGCTAGCAACTACTATCTCATCACCCTGCACTTCTTGCTGCACGGGCAGCACCACAAGGTGAGCCGCGGGGCCGGGGGCGCGGGGGCTGCCTGGCGCTGCGTGCTCCCCGCCACCCGCGGTGTCTTCACCCCGAGCAATCAGGGTGCCTAACGCTGGCGAGGGCGGTGAGAGCCTTGGCAGCAGTGGGCTCCCTCTAGCTTCGCTGGAGGAAACGTCCCCGTTGTGCCAAGGACCCGTGAGCCGAAGCCATGGGGCTGCTCCGGGTGTCTCTGTGCGCCTTCAGGGGTGCTGCACCAAAAATTGGTGTCTTGGATGCGTGGCTCGCATTCAGATGAGACAGCCCTGCGGGGTGGGTGTGCCTTGGTTTCGTTTGGGGTGCGAGGAGCTCACCGTCCTGCTCTGCTCCTCTCCCAGTCTCCCTTTGACAGCTCCCGCCTGGTCTTCCCCCCGGTGCCGGCGTCGCTGGTCATCGGCTTCTTCTACGGCGTGCTGCAGCTCCTGCTGCCCGAGGTGCTGGGGCTCTCCGTCTTCGTCGGGGGGCTCTGCGGCTACGTGGTGTACGACATGATGCACTACTACCTCCACTACGGCTCGCCGAAGAAAGGCACCTACCTGTACGGGCTGAAGGCGTACCACGTCAAGCACCACTTCGAACACCAAAAATCAGGTAGCGCCACGCGTGCTTCCCAGAATTTGGGGGAAAAAACAGCCTCACGGCAGGGGCTGGGAGTTATCTGGGGGGTTGAGGGGAGCCCCCCGTGTGCCCACCTTGGTGCAGAGGTGCCGGGACGTGGCGCTCGTCTCCTCCTCGCGGGTGGCGTTGGCGGGTGCAGGGTGAGGCCGCGGGCTTCCCTCGCTGTGCCGCAGCCCGGCGCTTGCTCAACCTGCCCTTTGCCCGGTTTCCTAGGAGAAAGCGCCCCATCCCGATAAGTTATCGTCCCAGCCGCCTCCTTTTGTCCCTCTGCTCTTCCTCCTCGCCCTGGTTTGTCACCCCAGGGCTGGGTGGCGAGCCTCCCTCCCCAAAACGCCGGCGCTCCTCTCCGCGGGGACGCTGCTGGTGCCATCACCAGCCCAGCCCCGTGCTCTGCTGTGTCCCCGCTGCGTGGGGCAGGGTCCTGGAAATTTCGGGGTGTCACCAGCCCTGTCCTGGCTGCCCGTTTTGGTGACGGTGGCAGCGGTTTGGTTAACTCACCCCCAGCAGTGACAGCAGCACCACGGGCTGAGCGCTTTTTTCCCTTCCCTTTAGGCTTCGGCATCAGCACCCGCTTCTGGGATCGCCCCTTCAGGACGCTCATCCCCGAGGAGGAGACCTTTGAGAAAGAGGACTGACGGCCCCAGCTCTGTCCCTCCTGGCTGGTGTCCCTCCCCAGCCCTCATTCCTGGGGGACGTGGCACTGACCCCTCTCCGGAGCATCTCCGTGGTGGCCCCAACCTTGTCCCCATCCCGCCCGCGGTGCCGGGGGCAAGGCTGGAGCCCTGCCTGTCCCCTACCCAACGCCTCCAGCACCACCGGGGCCGTGTGGGGACCTTATTGTGCTGCTGAGGGTCTGCACCGTCCCTCCTCTCCCTCCCCGTCCCCCCCCGGGGAGGCTGCACTATCCCCTCCGCGCTGCCCCCGGGGCTGGGGGGCAAGGATGCGGGGAAGGGGCAGGAGGAGGCTGCGGGCACTGATGTGGGGGCAGCTCTGCGCCCAAAGGATGAAGTGCCCAGCGCCTCGAGCCCCCCAGCCCTCCTCCCTCTGCCCTGCACCTCGCCGGAGCCCCCCCGACCCCCAGCCCTTATGGGGTGCCCCCCCCCAGGTGCCCGACATGCTGCAGTTCTCCCAGCTCCTACCCGGGGGCTTCTGTGTCTTGGGGCACTTGGGGAGGGGTGGAAAAAAAAAACAAAACAAACGCAAAAAAAAATCACCAACAAACCAGCACAGCCTGCTGGTTTTTGCCTTTTTCTAACCAGCGTGCCATATCTCTCTGCCAGATTTATCAAGTCCACGTTTTTTGTAGCTGTCAGCTATCTGAAACCTAAACTCCAATGAACGGAATCACTAAAAGATGCCTTTTTTTTTTTTTTTTTTTTCCCTGATCCTGTGATTTATTTTTTTTTTTCTAATGTTTACTGCGGATATTTAAAGGTCTGGAATAAAGTTATATGTAAAACTGTAGACACTACACCTGTAAATAAGCTGTATATTTTGAAAAATAAAACCCTTTAAAAAGGGCCTGGCTATTTGTGCTTCCCAAAACGTAACCCCAGGGGGCTGGGGTGGCCCCTGGGTACCCGTGGTTGTGCCACCGAGCAGGGCACTGGTTTGGGCTGCCCAGGGGGGGATGCTCCGTGCCCGGGGGGGGTGAGGACGGCGTGACAGCAGGCAGGGGCGAGGTGGAGAGGTGCCAGGCTGAAATCCCCGAGGTTGGGCAACGGGTGTCATGCGTGGCCTCGCGCTTCCGAAAATCGGCCTGCGCCGCTTCCTGCCCTTCCCGCAGAGGTCGAGCGTCGCTTCCCGTGCCCCCCGCTCGCTTCCTTTGACACCGGACAGGGCAGGGAGGGCTCGAGGCCGGGCTGGAAAAAGGGATGGGCACCGAGCCCTGCCTGGCATCCCTCACATGAGGCTGGGATGCTCTGGAGGACCCCGTGCCCATCAGCGGGGTGCAGAGCTGAGGCTGAGCACTTTGTGGTGCCCTCTGCGTGGCAAAAAGAGCTGAGACAGTGGCCAGCATCGTAACGGGTCCCAGACACCTCCCTAGGGCACTTTCTATGGGCGACCCCATCCCCCAGCACCCCAAACCCAGCAGGGGGGGAGCTGGGGGACACCGTGTGCCTCGTCCCCCTCCTCCGTCAGCTGGAGGAGCTTTCCTGGAAGGGCGACGCTGTGCGGCGTTGCTCAACGCCCCTTCCGCTGCCCGCGGCACCCAGGAGGGGGGAAAGCACCCTATAAATGCTCCTGTCCCCCAGTTCCTCCCCAGTTTGCAGAAGAGGCCGAGGAGGAAGCGAGCGGCGCGGAGCCAGGTAAACGCAGCTGCGCTTCTTTTGCCAAGCGGGGAGCCTCGTCCTTGGGGGAGAGGGGAAAATACGAAGAGGATGGGACGGGGAGAGCGTGCGAAGGCTTTTATGGGGTGGGTGGGAATGCAGAGAAGCATTGGCTGGAAACAGAACAGGTCTTCATGGCCGAGGATGCACAGGGCAGGACCGGCATGGTGTGGTAGCCAGGGATGCTCCTTGGATGACCGCTGACCCTGCTCAGCGTGCGAGCTGCCCGGGCACGGCGACTTCTGCTTTAATTTACAGAAAATGACGTGCTGTTCCCTCAGTTAAGGCTGTTCCCTCCTTAATCAGGCTGTTCCCTCACAGTTAAGAAGAAGAGCCGAATTAAACTGACCCACGAGCATTGCCAGGGGAGCACCTCCACCAGACGCCGCTGTCCTACGTCCCCGAGCCCTCTGCTGCGAGCATGGACATCGTGGAGAGGGTCCTCTGCGTGGCCCAGGCCATCCACAGCCAGTTCGAGCACGTCAAGTGCTGCAAGCACCAGTGCCAGCGCCTGGTGGAGCGCATCCAGATCCTGCTGGAGCCCGTGCGGATCCTGCAAGCCCAGCCATGGTGGCACATCTCCCACCACGAGGAGCAGATGCTGAAGAAGCTGCTGCAGGCGCTGGAGGAGGCGCAGAAGCTGGTGACCAAGTACAGCCAGGCCAGCTGGATCCAGAAGTTCCTGAGCGCCCGCAGCAGCGGCGAGGAGTTCGTCTGGGTGAACGAGAGCCTGGAGGACGTGGCCCAGGGGCTCTCGCTGCTGCTGCAGGCGGAGCAGAAGCAGGCTTTCCTGGCGGCCTTTCAGTCAAAAACCTGCCGCAGGCAGGATGCCGAGGATCTGAGGGATGACAGGGCTTTCCTGGACCAGGTGCTTGCGAGTAAGTGTGCGTTTGGCCTCATTTCCCTAAGCTCGGAGCTCGGCAGCCCTCCCCAGCCCAGCTGTGGCCCCGTGGTGTCAGCTGGGGAAAGCCCAAGGGCTCTTGAAAGCAGGAGAGAAACGAAGCACGTTCCTCCCACCCATCTCCACGCCTGTCCTTTGCCAGGTACCGAAGAGCCCAGAGATGGGGCCAGGGAGATCTACATGGACAGGCAGTGCATGGAGGACAAGGTGGACTGGATGCAGAGCGAGCTGAGCAAAATCGTGCGCGTGATGGACAGTAAGTGGGTGTTGCAAACCCAAGCGCAGCTCAGGAGCTCTGCCCCTGCGCAACGCGTCCCTTCCCCTTTTAGCAAGACCAAAGGCTGGCGGAAAATGCTCTGCCAAAACAACCAGCGGCCCCCAGCCCTGCCTAACCTGCCCCTTGTCCCCTCCTGGTGCGCGGGAGCAGGTTTGAAGAAGGTCAACGTTGGTAAAAGAGAAGATATCACCGAGATCGAGAGGGACCAGCTCACCTTCTACAGGCACCTGCAGGACACCGAGCGCTACGACCTCTATGAGGGAGAATATCTCAAGTACCCTGTGGCCATCAAAACCTTCAAGAGGCCGCTGACCACCGACACGACGTGAGTGGTGCCGGGCTGGGGTGGCACGGGGCGGCAGGGAGGGTGGCACCGAGCCTGGGGACCTCACCCTGCTGCCCCTCTCTGCAGGAAGGTGAGGGACATCTTCGAGAAGGAAATTCAGACCCTGAAGAAGTTCGAGTCTCCGAACATCCTGCGCATGTACGGGATCTGCATTGAGGAGAAAGGTGAGGGGGAGGCGTTCGTGTCACCCTTTTGCTCCCCGGTGGGTTGAGGTGACACAAGGGGGGGATGCTCGAGGGGTTCGCAGACTCCAGACTGACGGAAAAGGGGCAGGTCCAGGCTGTAAAGCACTAACGCTTTACACCAGATCCCAAAAATTCAAAGACACCCAGCCAGTTCTGCCAAGCAGACCCAGCACCAGCTTCCCATGGTCAATGCAGACCCCGGGACCCCCTTGGCACGGGCTGCCAAAGCCTGGGCCGTGGCTGTCCTCGCTGGTGGCTGTGCCACCGGCACCCTGGGCCAGCTGCTGCCCAACAGCACCCTCATCAGGCATCTTTTTGCTCAGACGGGAGCCCCTGCTTCTCCATCGTCATGGAGTACTGCAAGCACGGGACGCTGAGGGAGGTGCTGACCAAGCAGTGCCACCTCTCCTGGGAGATCCGCATTCGCATGGCCCTGGGAGCCGCCAGGGGTCTTTACAGGTGAGCTCCTGCCTCAGTCGGTGATTTAGTCCACTCGGGGACCCACAAATCGTGCTTGGTACCTCTTGGCATCCCGTCAGACCCATTTCTGCAACCTGGGATGCCTGCGACACTGGGATGGGAGGCTGGAGAAGAGGTCGGACGTGGTTTGGATGCAGCAGTGCCCATCTCCCCAGGGTCACTGGCCCCTACATCTGCCTCAAAGCTTATAAAGGCCTGAAAGGGAGAAACCCTGTTCCCTCTCCTCCCCAGCACCCATAGGGCAGCTTCAGGAGGACCCTACAGCATGGCTCGTTCTCCTTACAGGCCCTGCTCATCCACAAGGCTCGTTATTTCGCGGTGGGAGGGAGCCCAGAGGTGAGGATGGGTCCATGACCTTGTGTTGCCCTTGGTTCTGCCCGGCTGCAGGTTGCACCAGACGGAGGAGAAGTCCCGACTGCACGGCTGCATCTGCAGCAACAAGTTCCTGGTGGCTGGAGATTACTGCGTGAAGGTAAGGACCACGCCTGGAGAAGCTCTGCGGAGTTTGGGCTATTTCTACGGACCTCTCCCCCCACCAACACAGAAGAGAACCATGATAACCCAGAATAACAACTGGGGGAGTCACCTCCCCGTCACCTCAGACACTTACACCTCAGCTCACCATTTAGCTCTGTTTTATCAGCAGCAACATTAAGCTTTTCTGAGACCTAGGACAAGCTGAAGGTAGGGAGGTGAATCCCCCACCTCCACCTATGGTTTCAGTCACAGAAAGAGCATTGTGCCGGGCAGCACGTGTGGCTGCAGGCACCTCGCTCTGTTTTCTCCAGCTCAGGTCCGTCCCCAGCCATGCTATAGGTTTCTTTTGGCCTCAAAACTTGAGCTGAGAACCAGCAACCAGCCCTGCACTTCTAACACTCTTCCCTTTCTCATTCTCGCAATCAGCTGTCGGGATTTGAGCTGTGTGAAACAGAGTCCTCCATCAAGAGGAAAGCCAAAAAGAACTGGAACCAAGTGTCTATGTTGGCTTATGTTGCCCCCGAGAACCTGAAGGACATCTACTACCCCTACAAGAGGTCCTGTGAAATATACAGGTGTGTCTGGCCCACCAGTCCCCTCCTGGGGGAGCGGACTAGCTCTCAAGCTGTGGGTGAAGGCCAGGTTTAATCAGAGTTACATGCAGCCCACCAGGCTTGGCATAGCCCAGCAGCTACCTCTGTTAGAAAGGAGGATGTGGTGGTGGTGGAATCAGTGCTGAGAGACTCTTTCTCGTCTCATTCCAGCTTCGGGATCGTGCTGTGGGAGATTGCAACCTCCAAAATCCCATTTGAAGGTGAGACAGAAGTGATCTGGTGCCCCGAGTAAAAGCTTGGCTGCTGGGGCCTGGGCTGTGTGGGTCTCAGTGCCTGGCTCTGCATGACGTCTCCACAGCTTCAGCACACGCTTAAACCACAAACATGCACGAAAGGTCGTCTCTATTTGCTGTTCGTGTGCACTGAAGCATTGAGATGTTTCCGTGCTTCAGCGAAGCCCAGTGGTGTTTTGGCAAAGACGGGAGGGGTTCATTAGGGGTTCAATTTGGGTGGCTCCTCCATGGAGGAGGCTGCAGGATGGCTCAGGTGTGAAGACACCCTCCTGACGTCCCTGCTGGCACACGTGTCGCCTAGGCTGCTCCCTCCAGGAGATGAGAGACAAAATCTGCGACCACCAGTACCAGGACCCCGTTGGGGATGATTGTCCCGAAGAGCTGAGGAAAATCATCGATGAGTGCCGGGCCTTTGACCCATCCCAGCGCCCGTGTGCTGAGCGTGAGTGTCCTGGACATCTGCCCCAGGGCTCTGTGCACCCCTCAGGCAGCTGCTTCGGTGGTTAATCTGCCCCTTGTTTTCCATTTGAAATGGAAAAAGGAGGATTTTGTCTTTGGGGATCACTCCTTGCCCCGCTGACACCAAGCCCCCTAACACAAGAGCGTAGCTGGTGTATTCACAGTCTGTGTGCTCAGCCTTTACCCACGCCATGACCATAACCACCTGGCTGCCCAGCGGGCACAGTGTGGGAGCAATTAATTAATTAATAATTAATTTAACGATCTTGGGGGGCTTTTCTTAGTGATTCTGGGATGCCCCAAATCACTGAACGGGGGCATTGCTGTGCTTGGGGGAAGGCTGTGCCACGTTTACTGTGCCAGCTGCTGGGGCCGGGACAAATGGTTGCTTGGAGGGTTGGGAAGTGCCGTGGGTGCTGAGGGAGCTGTGTGCTGAGGGTGCCGTGTGTTGGCAGGGATCGTGGACTCGCTGGCGGCCCTGGAGAAGAGCAGGAGCCAGGGGAGATGACTGCGGGGGACCCACGGAGCCCAGCGCCCTGCCCCTTCCCCGTGTTTGCGAGTGTCCGTGGCTCAACACGCATTTATTGGTGTATCTGTGTGGTGTTTAATGCGACTGACAGGGCTGAGGGGGGCACCCAAGGGTGCCCCTGGGCCTGGTAGGCCCCTGGGCCTGGTGGGGCCTGGTGGGGCCTGGTGGGGCCTGGTGGGGCCTGGTGGGCCCCGTTGCCATGGCAACGCCCCCCCCCCCCCGCTTCCGTTTGAATCCGTTCCCCTCTCCCGCTCATTTCGCCCCAGCCGCCCCTCAGCCAATGAGAACGCGCTTCCGGACTCTTAGCCCCGCCCTCCCCGCCCCTCTGACCTATCACCGCCCTCCCACCCTCGGCTGTCCGCCGCCGGTTTGCCGGGCCCGCTGCCCAATCAGCGCAGCCGCCCCTTCTCCTCCCCCTCCCTCCCCCTAGCGACAGATTGACACAGCTCCTGACCAATAAAAAGCCTGACGCGCGCCGGCTCGCCCAATAGAAGCGGCGGCGGGGGCAGCGGCCGGCCAATAGGACGGCGGGGGGGCGGGGCGGCGGGGCGCTCGAGCGGGGCCGCCGTGAGGTGAGCGGGGACGGCGGGGCCGGGCCGGGCCCCCCCGGTTCCCCCCCGGTTCCCCCCCGGTTCCCCCCCGGTTCCCCCGGGTTGGCTCCGTCCCCTTCCCCCGGCTCGGTTCCCTCCGGTTCGGGGCTCCGGGAGCCGCCTCCGGGCCGTGTGAGGGGCGCGGGGCCGCAGCGCCGGGGGCGGCCGGGCCCTGAGGGGGGGGCGGGGAGGGGCCGGGCCGGGCCAGGCCGGGCCGGGGGGGGGTGGGGAAGGGGGGGCGAGGCCGCTCCTGAGGCGCTTCGGGCTCCAGCCCTGCCTAAATCGGCTGCTCTAAGGCCCTGCGTGCTGCGGTGCCTCGCGTGCTGGTCGCTTGCTAAATTTTGTGGGGTTTTTTTTGGCTAAACTTTGGGTTTTTTGGCAAAATTTTGATATTTTCCATTTTTTTGGCTCGTCCTGCCAAAAAAAAAAAGCTTTGAAGCAGGTGCAGCGCGGTGACCCCACAGGCGGCTGTCCGCGAGGGGAAGCTGCGCTGCCGTGCTCGGCCCTGCAGGTGCCTCCTGCCGTGCTGGTAGGCAGGATTCGTAGGGTCGTTAAGGTTCGTCCTCTGGGTGCTCCCCTTAATGAATTTCTTAATTATCTGCACCCAGGAAGCTTGGTTGTAGGGGTGTCCTGCTTACAGGCTGCTCTGCATGCTGCCACACGAAGCTGGCAGTCACAAGGAAGCTCTGGCCTGTCACCCTGTCAGAAAGACTCCAAAAATCAGTGGTGGAAGCGCTGCTATGAACACCTTTCTTTCCCCAAAACACACAGGGTTAGTTAACCCACAGTAGTGAGTACATGCAATATTTTTAATTAATCTCTTAGGAGAGGAATAATGGTTCTGATTTGCTCCTGGGGGGCAATCTTCCCATGAATGAGTTTAGTGCTAGGGAGCAGCACTTCGTCGTTAACTGGTGGCTCTTGACCAGGTGAGAGGTGGGGTTTGTATCTCCTTTTTGGCATAACTTAGGCTGGATGTGGTAATTAGAGTAGGATTAGAAAATTAGAGTTTATTAAAAGGTCTACCGAAACATAATAGCATTAGTATATCCACCTCTAGTAACTTCATACACATTCTCCAGTTATTCTTTGACCTAAAAGCGGTCTTTGCTCTGTCTGCACAGTGCCTATCCTAATTAGTTTTGGTGTATGCTTTGGGCTGAATAATGCTGAAGGCCTGCTGTCCCCAAGGCTTTTCATATTTATGATTGCCTCGGTATTTTTGAGAAGGTGAATGACCTTTGGCAGGCTGCAGAATTTAATCCCCTCTCCCTCCACCTCTTTAGGTGACTTTTTTTCATTTGTTCAGTTAATGAAATGATCCTGAAGTCTTTTTTTTGTGTTGCAGCCTGCCTGCAGAGCAGGAGGGCTGTCCGGTTCTGTGGCCGAGAGCAGCATGGTAACCACCAACACAGACTGTGACTTCTGTTTTTCCTTAAAACCTAGGGTAGTCTTTCTAGAAGGAAAAAAACTGAAATCTTTATCCCACAGAGGCTTGCAGGGCATCAGTTTTTAATATATGTGAGGCTTTTACTGCAAATTGAATGTTTGTCCACTCTCAGATGAATATGGGTCCACAAATGCTGACACTGGGGGTAACTTGCTGCCCAAAATGTCCCGGTTGTGGGTTTTGCTCTGGTACCCTTCGGGGGTTTGCACAGTGCTGGTGAAGGTCAGGTAGCAGAAGGGCCTCTTAAATAAGCTGTGGGTAGGAGTCATGGTGATCTGGCATCGTAATGGAGTTTTATTGCAATAAATGAGAGCCTCCAGCGAGATCAGCGCGATGGACAGACGCACCGCTCGCTCCTGGCTCTATTTGTCAGTGCTCGTGCAGTATTTTTCACCAGGGGGAGTCTCTAGGATATCTCCAAACCATCCTCTGAGATGCAGATGCATTCACTGGCAGTTCAATAACAGCACAAACACCCCCTGACTTTCCCCACTCCCCCAAGGCTCACTAAACGCGGTTTTGCAGCCTGCCTTTGGTGCTGGCTGTTCCTGAGCCCAAGACTTCGGGTCAGGGACTTGGGGACGGCGCTGCCTGCTAGGCCAGCTCATGCATGCTTACCGACACGGGCAGTTGGGTTTTCTGCTGCATGTCTGAGGCAAAAGGACAAATTATTTGCAGCCTGAGTTGTAAAGGCTTGTTTAGTCACTGCTACAGCTGGTTCTCACTGCTGTCAGGCTACAAGCAGGGCGCAGACTTACAGATGTGAGATTTCTGCTTCAACCCTTGACAGGAATGGCTCAAGAAGAGATGGAAGTCGACCTCCAGCCAGTGGCTGATGACCCCGCAGAGAACCACGGGACGCTTCCCCCGGAGCCCTCAGGCCACACCACGGTGCTGAGCAGCGAAGGAGGCGGCGTGACCATCATTTCTGACGACGAGGACGAGGCTGTTGGCGCCTCGAGCACTGGGACAGGGCTAGCAGCTACCAGGCCCAACCACCCAGCAAATCCCAGCAGACTGCAGAGGTTTCCGGGGCTGTTGGATCAGCTCCCGCTGGTGCCTGGGCCGCAGGCTGTGGCACGGCCACAAGTGAGAAGGGCTCGCAGGCAGCAGAGCATCGGGGGCTCCCAGAGGACGGTCAGTGCCAGGTAAAGCAGCAATTATTTGTGCTGTGCTTCCTCGCTCCAGGGCTGTGGCCGAATTCTGAGCACCTCACAAACCTCTGAAGCACCGTGGGCAGAACTCTGATCGCACATGGCGGCGTCTTTGCTCCTCGTTAAATGAATCTCCCCTCTATTTCTTCACTTACTGTTGACCTGTGAGCCCTTCCACGCTTTCTGACGTGCAGAGCCTCTGCTCCCCGTGTTCTGTGGCTCTGCCAGGCTCCTGGTGGTGCTTCCTGCAGCAGAACCACCTCAGCACTTCCAGCCAGCGCGTAGCACGAGCTCCACTGAGCTCTGCTGCCTTTCACCTTTGTTTTGAGGTTGTCTCATTAGGTGCTCTGGAGGCCCTTGCTGCAGAAGCTTTCACAAACAAGCAAGCTAACATGTTGTTTTGTTATCTTCAGGCAAAGAAAGTAAAAAATCCTGTGTTTAACACTGTTAGTAATGAGTTTGAAAGGTGATGAGTGGGCACACTCCTTAGCCAGAAAGAAATCCCTATTTCTGGTCTGTTTGGTTTCTGTCTCATCTCTGTAGCTTTTGTAAATGCCGAGGGTGAAATTATAATTAACTGGAGCGCTGTCTTTAAATGCAGTCAGACCGACATCTCCTTTCCTCCCCAGTGATTAAACATTACTACACTGTTTGCCCGTGGATTGCTCATGAAGGTCACTGCAGTTCTCGGGGCTAGAAGGCAACCTGGCAAAACTCTGCTTTGAACCTGCAGGATAATTGAGGAGCTGGTGCAGGGCAAGGGGAAGAAGTTACTTTCCAGGGGTGAAGCCCCTGGGGAAAAGAAGGGGGAAGGCAGAAAGTAGTCGGTGGGGTGAGACTCTGGTATGAGCCTTGTTTGTCTCATTATTACCAGGGGCAGTGGGAACCAGGTCTGGGTTATAATTGTAATTACAGCCTAGGAGTTCCACGGGCTGGGCAGAATGGATGGGTTTTGGGAAAAGTTTCTTTAAGGAACGGGTTGTGCAGTGTTGGAACGGGCTGCCCAGGGAAGTGGTTGAGTCGCCATTCCTGGAGGGCTTCGAGGAGTGTGGAGATGCAGAGCTTAGTGATGTGGCTTAGTGGTGGACTTCACTACCACGTAAAACGTTGGCCTGGATGGCCTGAGAGGTCTCCCAGAGTTCACCTGAGTGGTTCTGTGCCACTGCTGATTGCTCACGGCTGTGTGGGGTTGCCCCTCTCCCACACAGGGGCTGTCTTGCTAACTGATCCCTTCCGATCTGCACTCAGAGCCTGGCAACTGTGCTGCAAACCAGCTGGGGGAAGCATTCAGAGCCTTCAGCCTACCTGAAATCACCCTGGCTTTCATTTCTCCCTTCTCTGGATGCAGGGCATCGTTGGTCAGATTCTTCCAAATCAGTATGAGCCAGGTGCAAGCTACCACACCGGCTGCACGTCTGGAACCCTTGCATGTAGCGGGGAGCAACCAGGAAGAGGGGTCTCCTGAAACGGAGCTGAGTGGCTCTGCCAGCAGCGCTTCTGAGGAGGAGGAGGAAGAAGAGGCGGAGGCTGCAGCACCGCCGTCCCCAGCAGCCCAGGAGACACCTGCAGCAGCCAGCTCAGGTTTGTACTTAATTCCAGAAACTCATTTTGCTGCTTCAGAACCCAGCAGGGAAATCCTCTCGAGCTTCCTAACAGACGGTGCTCGGAGATTGTTGTGCCCGCAGCTGGCAGGAGCAGGTTGCCACCACAAGGCTCGCTGGCAAGCGGCTCCAAAGAGCAGCAGCAGCAACACGTGACTGCTGCCGTGATCTCAGACAATCTTTCTGCTATTTGCAGGCTCTCGCTTATAAATAATCCTGGAAGTGTTCAAAATAACTTCACATTTAGAGGCTGTTGCTTGGAACATTT